AAACTAAACATTAGCAAAGCGTATTGGAAAGCGTTCGAACTGTAGAATATAGAACAGTCAAAATCTACTTAATGCCCTACTAAAGTACTTAACAGTAGTAATCACATATTGAAGTTGGTATGTAAAACATGTTTATCTATTTTGTTTCGTCCTTATTTTGATTTCATTTGTATTCTAAAGTCTAAGTGAATTGTTGCTCGATTTTAAGTGGGTGAGAAAATTATCCAACCCAAATTATCCGCAAATCGTATAATTATTCGCCAATCGGGAACAATGGATAGAATATCACAATAATTTGCTTGCCAGTACATCAAGAGTACATTCGCCGCGCCTATCAAAGTGACAAGGTGATATAAAAAAGAGTTAATAAAAATGTTTTCGCGGGTTACTCTTGGACAATTTTAATCTTTACCTAGTTTTTGAGTGCTTGCCAGTGGATGCAAAAATTTATTAGATTATAATCAGATTCGTCCAGACCTTAAAAATAATTATGCATATATTTCCGTGCATACGTTTCCCAAGCCATACAAAAAAATTAAAAATAATATCCTCAAACCACGTCGGTTCTCAGCCAAACTAAATCCTTAGTAAACTTTTTTTACCTCCTTTTTTTACAGTTTTTAACCCTTACGTCGACAACACAATATTCTCAAAGATACAAATTAAAAAAAAAACGATCATTCCTAGTCATACACCGCACAGGTAAATAAGTTAAGGGAGCAAAGCCAGAGCTACACTTTTTATGATGAATTTACATAAGGAGACCCTTATACGGTCATTTGAAGTTATTCTTCGAACATTGACCCTTCTGTGTTAAAATATGACAAAGCGCAGGGCTGGCTCGTTAAGAATGCGTAAAAGAGTTATTTTTGAAAGTTCGATCTCGAGTCGGCATTCCAGAGATGGACTTCTTTATTAAATTTACGTTGAATTTGGTAAAAAATAAAAGGAATAAATCTGGTAAAGTAATAACACCTGGTAATTAAATGGTTCAATTTTCTTAACAATTAGGAATAAATTATTAAACTAAAAATAAAATATTACAGCTATAAATAAGAAATATAAGTAAAGCAAACTAAATTCATCAATATCTACAATAGTTTAAAAATCACAATTAGTGATAATTTGAAAATTAACACTTTTAAATAGGCGTATCATGATGCGGGATAAAATAAAAAAAGATCCTTTAAATCCAATTATTTATTATATTATATCGCTGGCTAAAAAAAGAAAGGTTCTCACCTCTCGGAAGTCCAGTGATGTGTTCTTCTAATTTGCCCCTGAGTAACTACGGAAAAATCGATTAATAATAATAATAATTAATAATACTCTCCCTAAAGTCATCCCCTTATGAATGAATTTCAACCCCTGAAGCCGACTGAGCTTGTGTGGGGAAGGGACGCTATTATTATTATTATTAATATTATTATTTGCCATGGCGCTCCGGGGCGACTTAAAGATTTGACTTACAGATGGGGAACCCAGTAAACCATAAATAGACGGCATTCGCTCGGCCTGACACCGGCAAGTTCAGGAAGCCGAGTACTTGGATTGCCGTTGTCGGGGTTGCTTCTGAGCCGGTAGGACCATACCATTTGACGTAATTTAGAAGTAGAAACCGCATGTGGTCCATATTTGGCTTTCCAGACATGGGAGGCAACCTTACGGACCGAACGCGGTGAATATTTGGCTAGCCGGGCATGGGAGGCATCCTTACGGGCCGAACTATATATAGATATATAAACGCGGCTACAATATAGTGCCGAAGCAGCACCCGTATATCGGGCCGCGTCCGGCATCCGGCAAGCCTCCTTCGGTCCAGTTACGGTGCCGATTAACTGTGTTTATTGGGAAGATGGCTGTCACCTTTCAGCGACAACCAGCAGGCTTTTGACAAATTCAGAAGCAAGTCATCATATATGCCCCAGAAGGATGCATAATGTCCTAATGAGGCATAAGTGCTGTGGAACAAACCACCCTCTTTTTTTTCCCACCTGCAGATACAGATGTCCAATTCATAAAAAAAACACAATTTATTATCTCAAGTACCTTATACTGTTTTTTTAATTTATTTTGAAATGCAAATATACTGTTTTAACAATGTTTAAATCACGGTCGTATCTTAATATAACATTAAATGCCATATTTTATGAGGGAAAAATACTTTCATATTTGGGGATAAGTTTTCATGGATAATCATTTTCAAACGGCCGCGAATCGTAAAATGTAAAACGTCTATGATAAATTAAAAAGATAGTCACAAATCCTTTCAGCAAATAAATAAATTTGTCTAAATTTTGTAAAATGTATAAAGTGAAAAGCGCCATCTATCAGTTAGTAGGTTAAGACATTGTCTAGATTCATTTTTTATATATATAAAATGGCTGTGTACATTGCGGAAGCAGCTGGCACCATCTATTATATACGTCTTCAAACACTTTAAATTCTTTTTTAATATAATTTGGCCCCACTATCGCAGTTATTAAGCCACCACATTATTTCTACTAAAGTGACAGAAGTGTGTTGTTCGATTGAACAAGGCATATTTTCATCAAGTTTTCGTTTTACAAGTGTGACGACATAATGGGCGTGTTCACTTGCTGCGTTTGTTTATCCACATCGGATATTGTTAATCTTTTATCACTACATGTGCCGCGTTTGAGAATCCACATCGGATGCATTTTTTCATCTCGAACGTTTTTTTATCCACATCGGACACATCTGTCCCATTACATTTACGTATACTGAATCACGTGATCAAAGATTTACTACATCTCAGATGCATCCGATGTGGATTCTCAAACGCGGCAATGGTTCAAGATAAGTAAATGTAATGGATAAACAAACGCTCGAGAGTTAAAATTGAAATTTGAAATCATACTATTTATCCTTCCTCCATGAATCATACGTTTTTATACTATTGCCGCCTTTAAATATCCACATCCGATGCATTTCTAGAGCACATCTAGAGCGTTTATTTATCCACATCGGACACATTTACTACATCTGCGTTTGTTTATCCGAGATGTAGCTGTCCAGATTACATTTTTTACTTCTATATTTGAAATGAGATGTGAATGAGATGTTCGTTCCATGCCAGAAATTAGGTGTTCTGTGAAGCCAAGTGTATCGATTTATCCTTCTGTTTGTGCTAGCGTGAATATAAAAGTGATTAGTTTGTTTAACTTTAGTTTAGATTTCAAATTTAAGTTGATTTCTAGTCGTCTCAAAAGTCAAATTTAAAAAGTATAAACTTCTAACTTGTCATTGACCAATAAAGTCTAGAGCTTTGTTTATTACATCTACATTCAGATCTAATCCTCTATCACGTGATAAAAAATTTACATCTCAGATGCATCCCAATGCATCCGATGTGGATATTAAAACGCAGCATATGTAACCTCCAAAATTTTATATGCCTATTTAAAAGATATAACTGAATATTCAACAATACTAGTATTCTACGTGACTAAATTGATGTAATCAGTTGGCTAAAAGTAACTGGTTGTCTGGCCCTTTGAATATATAGTCTATTTATATTATGTATCAATTTACTAGTATTCTTTCTATCTTGTCAAGAGTATACATGCTGTTGATTGCTTAAGGAAAGTACATGTAGCACGCGACATCCATGTTTTTTAAAATAAACAAGCTCATACATTAAAGTAAAAATGTAGGTAATTACTTTTTTAATGGTTGAAAATTGGTTTTAAAACACATTTTCACTAAACCGATTCTGATTAATGAGCACTTGCGAGACATTAGGTCTTTTCCTTTGCATCGAAAGTGTAGCACTGAGCTACGTCACTTCTGAAAATATTGTTCCATCCATACAATTTGTATATATGGAACGATATTTTCAGAATTGGTGTAGCCCAGTGCTACACTTTCGATGCAAAGGAAAATACCTAATATGACCGCTCGCAAAGCGACCCACTTTGAGCAATCTATATAACTAGACCATTGACCTGTCAAAACCAACAGGGTTGCCATATCAATGCCTATGAACCAATGAATTAGAGTGGGGTAGAAAGCCAATGTGCATATTTGCCGCGTTTGAGAATCCACATCGGATGCATCTGAGATGTAAAAAATCTTTGATCACGTGATTCAGTATACGTAAATGTAATGGGACAGATGTGTCCGATGTGAATAAAAAAACGCTCGAGATGTAAAAAATGCATCCGATGTGGATTCTCAAACGCAGCAATTGTATCAATAGAACAAGATGCGACTCCTTCTTATTTTTCTATGTGCGACTCTATCGGCGCAGCCATTTTTATTTCTCATCTCACTCGGAAGTATTTAATAACCATTTTCTGTTTCACATTGTTATTGTCCTGTGCACAATCTAGTGGACCACTTAAATATTGCTGTCATGCCGTCCCTCAACTTATTTCCAAAAATAACACTTAGAAAAATTAAAAAAAAAACAACAGAGAACAAGAGGTTTAGACTGAATTATTTATATTTATAATTGACATCGTGTGGGGTACCAAGTGAGAGCTCTTTGAAGAACGATTACAAAAATGTACGTTCGTTTGCATTACTTTTTCTTTAGCACTTCCAGAAAATCTGAAAAAAATCAGTAACGTTGAGAAGGAGGTGTAGATTCTCCGAAAATACACAAGTTTATTCACTCAGAACATCCTAGGAAATTATTTTTTTTCTTCAAACCTCAAAATCTCTGAAAGGCAGAACATTATCCGCCCATTGGCAACACACTACGATTGGCCATTTTTTTTTTACTGTTGGGCATAGGAAAATTTACGGTTTATGTTTTAGTAGTTTCATAACAGTTATCAATAGATTTGATTTTGGATAGGAAGGAAGGTTAATAATAATACAAAAAATAATTTCAAACAAATTTAATTGTAGTTGAATACAAATTTTTATCGAAGTGAAAAAAGTTTTTGTAATCAATGAAATATAAAACGTATGTAGAATAAAAGGATAAAATAACCATATAAATGAAATAAAAATTCCACAAACCATAAAACTGAATTTACCTTATATATTCTAAATTTTATACAATAAAAATTTTCTCATTCATTATTATCAGTAACGGAAAAAAATCAAAATAAATGTGAAAAAAAAATTGATTTAATGCTTTCCTTACATCAAAATAAATTGGAAAGCATACATGTCAGACTTACAATTTTCTTGATCTTATAAACTTATAAAAAATAAGGAAGGGAAAATTGCAAATAAGCAAAAATACAAACGAATGTTTTTTTTTCTTTACAGTTCCCAAATTAAGAATCTGCAAATCGGATTGTTAAGTAGCAGTATTTTTATTTTTAGTTTTTTTGTCGTACGACTGTTTGCAATTTTTATATTTTTGTTTTATTTTTTATGAAGGCAAATAATTTATTCTTTTTTAATTTGAGTAGCAGCTTGTTGTTTGGCTTGATGGGCTTGCAATACAGCAACGGCTTCCTCAACTTTGTTCTTGAGCGACTCCTGGTGTTCCAACATGTGCAACAACTCCGTGTTATCGATTTCCAACAACATACCAGTAATTTTACCTGTAAACAATAAATATAAAGCTATTAGTAGTCAACCACTGTATTTAAGATGAAGAATTTGCAATTGAAATAAAAAAGAATAAGGTGATTGAAGGAAAAGAAAATTAAATATACCCAAAAATAACAAATTGTGAATAAAAAGGAATAATATAACAAGACGTAATAATATAGAGGATTTTAACGTCGCCATGGGTAGTTATGAATATTATGAGCCATGAGAGTCCAAGCTGGCCTCTCAGAAGCACAGACCAAGTGGGGGTTCTAAACCATCTGGCTGAGCTCAAAACGCTCCTGGTTGGAAAAGCAGACCTGCAGCTAAACATTAGCATGTGAATTGACATTGGACTCACTCCGCTAGTATATCACTTAACCTGCTAAATAGTATTATGTTGTCTATTGTACTGCACCTACCTGCCAAATCGGCGTACATGCGTTGAATAAGAGGGAACAATCTCTCTCCCAGCATCTGTTTCTGTTCCTGTGGGGGAGCAGCGGCCAACATAGTGGCAGTAAGAGGTTCTTGGCCCTGAATGTGTACTGCCTGTTGTACTGGAGCTTGAGCACCTGGCAACAAAGCTTGTGGGGGGTTTCGCATGTTGGCAGTGTATTTGAAATTGGCCGTACGGTTTCCAGCCGCTGCCACACCTAAGAATTAAACAAAAAAGTTATGCAACTTTATACTAATTCAGGCTTTTCTTATTTATCAATTCCAGCTAAATAATCTGTATCTGGTAGACCATCATCTGATTTTTGTGTTTAAAATGTTTTATATTTGTAAAATTTGAGAATTAAAGACAATGGTACCAACATCTATATTTTACTAGAATTCTTTTTATTTTCATATAAAATAAGGAATTTAGATATCTATAAAAAGCCTAGCAACCATATGAAAAGCAAACATTTCCACAAACAAACGGCATGATATGGATTATATAAAGACAGGATGGAATAGATTTTCAATTCCTCATACTATATGTAAAAATAAAAAAATAAGAATTGGTGGTAATAGGACTTTGAACTATAAAAAATGTGTATTTCAAATCTTTATACATAAAATGCCAATCACCAATACTTATAAAGTAAACCAGAACTCATTAATAATCAAAATAAGGAAATTTGTTATACTTAAAATTCCCAAATAATTATTATATCAAGAGATACTACATAATTACTCCTCTTTTGGAAATCAAAGAGTTCTTTTACTAAGAGGACCATTATTGAAAGAGATTTTTGGAATTGAATTTTTGTTTTAATCAAGGGGCTTGGATGGTTTATGGTTTCAAAAATGGTCTAAATGCATAAAGAGAAGCAAGAATATTGGATTCAGACAAATTAAAATTTACAGAAACCAAAATAAATAAAAGAATGTTTAGATTAAAAGTTTTAAATTAATTCAAACTCAGCTGAACATATTAATTTGTCTAAATCTTGATGAAGAATTAAATCAACAAGTCACATCCACAAAGTAATTATAAACACATTAAAACAACTTCAAACTAATCAAACTGGTTTATTAAACATTTGAATGTTTAATAATTTAGTGTGTAGTGTTTGGCTCAAAAAATTAACATACAGAATTGTTGATTTCATGCCACATCCCCAATAATGACCCAAAGCAAAATCTATTCAAAAGATGATTTGCGAAGGTTAGATTCTTGCTTACTTACCAACACAACCAAATCTAAATAATCATAACAAAACGAACTTAAACGCAACTCAGGATACGAGTTAATAGTTTTAATATCAAAATTTAGAGTCAGTTTCATATTGGCTACAGGTTTTATCCATCTAACAGAGCAAGGATCAGCCTAATAGTGTCCGGCTTGCTTGTTGGTCCTTCATTTAAGCAGCACTTAAAGGATACTTTACCTAAGTGAAATATATTGATTCATGTCAATTCAGAATAAATTTTAATATGGTAGGGTAGATTGGATAAAGAAAATAAAATAAATAGAAATGTTAGCTCAATAGAATATTATTAAAGATTAATGACGATTTAAATCTTAATATTACAATTGTAAGATTCCTTATAACTCTTAGAACAAGAAGGAAAATGTCCTCAAGGTTTTGATATCAATTTTCAAATAAAATATTTTTTTTTTTTAATTAACCAATTCCTACAAGACGATCTGATTTTTAATATATCTATGCTCAGAATATTTAGACAAAGGCAGTAGATGGTGAAGGTAATTATTGGTAACTGTTACTGAACTAAAGCAAAAATGCCTTGTTAAAATTAGATTCAGTTATCCAGGTATACATATTTATGAATAATGCTAATATTGAGTGTCAATTAGCAGAAGAAAGCCTCCATGAAAATAATCAAAATCAGTTACCATGCTTATTTGATAATCATTTATTAGGCCAAATATACTTTGCCATCTGGAGCCCACACTGTTTATAAGCAGTACTATAACTTTGATCTGTTTACTTGAACTCCATATGTGATATTTCATCTGTGATACTATTTAGCTGAAATGTGATGCAGCTCTATCAGCTTTGTTATTTACAATATTAAATACGACCAATAAAAAAAAAATAAAGGGATAATTTCTGTGATTTTAAAAGGAAAGACAAATTGAATGATTTAACTTCAAGAATTGTATCCGTTTGAACGCCAAAATCAAACAAAAGATCAACAAACCCAGCTCTGACACTATGTCCCTACCGTTACCTTGTCCAGCAAGTGGACGACCGTGCATACTTGGCGGTTGTTGTCCTGTGATTGGTCTGGGTACACTGATGTTGCTACGCATGGTGGACTGATTTGGTGGTCTGGTTGCAGCTCTGTATGTGTTTTGCATACCAGTGTAGGTAGCTGTACCTCCTTGAGCTCCTGGCCTGACAGGCGTCTGTGCTGGCCATCTTGGGCTGGTACGGATTGGCATCTGTGCAGGTCCGTAGAAACGAGGAGCTGTAGCTTGAATAGTAGGTACGAAATAGCCACTTGAAGCTCCTGGCTGGATGAATTGTCCCATCTGGTGCATGCGCATGTTTGCTACACGCTGCATGTATTGAGAGGTTAAGTGAGCTTTTCTGTCTTCTTTGCGTTGCGCTAACGCAACGTACAAAGGTTTTGTACCGACGATTCTACCGTTCATTTCAGTTACAGCCTTTGTAGCTTCTTCTGGCGAAGAGAAACAAACGAAACCAAAACCTTTGCTTCTACCTTCTTCCATCATTACTTTTGCGGAGGTGATAGTACCGAATGGTGAGAATTCTTTGCGGAGACGTTCATCGTCGATAGTATCATCTAAGTTTTTAACATAAAGATTGACACCCTGGTAGCGATTAAGCCGTTCCATCTTCAATGCTTCGAAGCGGCGTTTCAGTTCTTGTTGACGCTCAGCTTTCTTCTGTGCTCTTCCAACATACAAAGGTTTACCTTCTAATAATTCCTTACCTATAAAAAAAATTATGTATTAACTTGACAAATTGTTTAAATTGAGTAATTACCATTGAGAGCTTCTACTGCAGTCTCAGCTGCCTCAGGATTTTCAAAAGCTACGAATCCGAATCCTTTAGATTTGCCGTCGTCTTTGCTCATTATTTTGTAGCTGGTTATTTTACCGTATTTCTCAAACATGGCACGTAGCTGTTCTTCGGATAGGTCTTCGCCGAAATTCTTGACATAAACATTTGTGAAAAGTTTGGCTTTTTCTCCAAGTTCCTTCTCTCTTTCTTTACGTGGAATGAAACGGCCAACGTATACTTTTTTGCCGTTCAACAACATACCATTTACCTAAAAAAATGTATCCAATAAAAATATGACCTAAAAGTGACCAATAAGCGCCCGTTTCTTACTTTTTCAATAGATTTATTAGCAGCTTCTTCAGTTTCAAAATGAACAAAACCATAACCTTTGCTGGTACCATTTTCATCCTGAGCTACTTTACAACTAAGAATATTACCAAAAGCAGAGAAAGTATCGTACATAGCTTTGTTATCAATTGATCTATCCAAGTTCTTGATGAACACATTACCTACTCCAGATTTTCTCAAAGATGGGTCACGTTGGGACCACATAATACGAATTGGTCTACCTTTGATTAAATCAAAGTTCATGGTATCCAAAGCACGCTCAGCTGCAAGAAAAAATTACTTACTTAAAGAACACATATTTTGTTACTGGTAAGGGGCTGTAAGTACATTAAAAGTCCAAAATGGCCTTACAAAATAAATTGAAATGTGAATTGATTTAAAAACTGATTTGATATTGTGGGAGAAATATCTGGATATAATTTCATATTTTCAATATTTATCTGCTTAAAGCAAAAATTAATGTTACAATCACCCATAGATTGTCAAAAATTAAAACTATATTGTTTGTGTTAATGAAGATATTTAGGTTCATAAATGCTCAGATCTTGACCAAATTTATATGGGATGTGACCCATTAGATACCTCATTCGACAAAAATGAATCATAGAAACCAGACTTGGTAAAGAATTATAGCATACATAAAAAAAAAATATTGATCTAGACAACTTAGTTAAATGGTGCGACCATAATAACCTACAGTTCAATGTTAATAAATGTTGCTTTACAAGCTTTTTTAAAGGGAACTAAAAGTTCAACTCACAATATTACATTAATGATAAGCCACTATCCCAGGTCAACTCAATCAAAGATTTAGGAATTATTTTAGATGTACAAATAAGATTTATTGAACATATAAATTAAATCTCAATAAAATCATTCCAATGCTTAGGGTTAATATTGCATTAACTCTTCTGATTTCTCTCTAGAAGCCATAAAAAGAGTTTATCAAACATTGGTTGTACCTCAGTTGGAGTATGCTTCTATAATTTGGTCATTACAATATCTTACACACTGTCTAGCAGTGGAAAGAATACAAAATAAATTTCTAAGATACTGTGCCTTCAAATTAAATATTCAGGTAACCGATCACAATTAATGAGGCTGAAGCTAGAGACCAACTAGCAGACAAATCGCGCGGCGGTCCCCAAATGTTTTGATGTTGTTATTCGGCAAAATCTTTGGTTTAGGTGGACTTTAGTGTCATGAAAGTTTAGAAATAAAATAAATATTACGTGTATTTATTGAAAAAAATGGATTAATTCAATTTGAATATCTTACACAAAGACGGGGAAGAAACAAACACATTTACAATGCGATTATAAATATAATTTTTATACCAAATATTCATCAAGTTTTTGTTAATTGAATAAACAAAAAATTATGGCCGAACAATGATTTAAAATATATTTTTTTGGTCTTTTTAAAGTCAGGTGTTTTGTCGTCAAACGACTATAAGAATTAAAGAGTCCTAAAAAACACATTTAGCACGAGATTACAAATACAATTTTCATACCAATAATTTAGTACACCACTAGCTATAAAATAAATAAAAAAATCATTAAATAGCAAGACCTCTAATTACATTTTTTAAATCTTTAAAAATGCGTGGTTTCGCGGAAAAACATTATTCTACCAAAATATCAAAAACCAATATTTAGCACGAAATTCTAGATATAATTTTTAATACGAATGATTCAGTAGATTAGTATAATTCAAAAACACAATAAATCATTACATAGCAAGACCTCCAAATATGTTTTTTAGGTCTTTAAAATGGCGCGATTTCGCGGATAAACCTTACTTTATCAAAATGACAAAAACCAATATTTAGCACGAAAATTCAGATAAAATGTTTAATATGAATGACTCCATACATTAGTATAATTCAAAAAAATAATAAATCATTACATAGCTGAAGAGCTGTAAATACGTTTTTTAGGTCTTTTGAAACGAGCGGTTCCGCGAAATAACCTTACTTTATCAAAATGACAAAAACCAATATTTAGCACGAAAATCCAGGTATAATTTTTAGTATGAATGATTCAATACATTATTATAATTCAAAAAAATAATAAATCATTACATAGCAAGACCTCCAAATACGTTTTTTAGGTTTTTAAAATGGCGCGATTCCGCGGATGAACATTACTTTATCAAAATGACAAAAACCAATATTTAGCACGAAAATCCAGGTATAATTTTTAGTATGAATGATTCAATACATTATAATAATTCAAAAAAAGAATGAATCATTACATAGCAAGACCTCCAAATATGTTTTTTAGGTTTTTAAAATCGTGCGATTTCGCGGATAAACCTTACTTTATCAAAATGACAAAAACCAATATTTAGCACGAAAATCCAGGTATACTTTTTAGTATGAATGATTCAATAAATTATTATAATTTAAAAAAATAAATCATTATATAGCAAGACCTCCAAATATGTTTTTTAGGTGTTTAAAATGGCGCGATTCCGCGGATAAACATTACTTTATCAAAATGACAAAAACCAATATTTAGCACGAAAATCTAAGTATAATTTTTAGTATGAATGATTCAATACATTATTATAATTCAAAAAAATAATAAATCATTACATAGCAAGACCTCCAAATATGTTTTTTAGGTCTTTAAAATGGCGCGATTTCGCTGATAAACCTTACTTTATCAAAATGACAAAAACCAATATTTAGCACGAAAATCCAGGTATAATTTTTAGTATGAATGATTCAATAAATTATTATAATACAAAAAAATAATAAATCATTACATAGTAAGACCTCCAAATATGTTATTTAGGTGTTTAAAATGGCGCGATTCCGCGGATAAACATTACTTTATCAAAATGACAAAAACCAATCTTTAGCACGAAAATCCAGGTATAATTTTTAGTATGAATGATTCAATACATTATTATAATACAAAAAAATAATAAATCATTACATAGTAAGACCTCCAAATATGTTATTTAGGTCTTTAAAATGGCGCGATTCCGCGGATAAACATTACTTTATCAAAATGACAAAAACCAATATTTAGCACGAAAATCCAGGTATAATTTTTAGTATGAATGATTCAATACATTATTATAATCCAAAAAAATAATAAATCATTACATAGCAAGACTTCCAAATACGTTTTTTAGGCCTTTAAAATGGCGCGATTCCGCTGATAAACCTTACTTTATCAAAATGACAAAAACCAATATTTAGCACGAAAATTCAGATAAAATTTTTAGTATGAATGACTCCATACATTAGTATAATTCAAAAAAATAATAAATTATTACATAGCAAGACCTGTAAATACGTTTTTTAGGTCTTTTGAAAAGCGCGGTTCCGCGGAATAACCTTACTTTATCAAAATGACAAAAACCAATATTTAGCACGAAAATCCAGGTATAATTTTTAGTATGAATGATTCAATACATTATTATAATTCAAAAAAATAATAAATCATTACATAGCAAGACCTCCAAATACGTTTTTTAGGTCTTTAAAATGGCGCGATTCCGCGGATAAACATTACTTTATCAAAATGACAAAAACCAATATTTAGCACGAAAATCCAAGTATAATTTTTAGTATGAATGATTCAATACGTATTTGGAGGTCTTGTTCCTAATAGACTCCTTAGGCAATTAAATGTTCCATGTTCCATTTCACAATATAAACTATGTCATGCATTTACCTATTGAAAGAACATTGAGGGTAATTAATCAATTGAATCTTGAGGTTACAGGCATTTCTTTTAATAAATTTAAGGCAATCTGTATGAATGCACTGGAGTAAAAATGAAATATTACAGACGGATTTACAACACTTAAATCTAAAACTTATTTGACTTAATTTTAACTTTTTTTTCTCTTGTATTTTTTTAATTTAATTTACAATCTGTATCATTTATGTGTTTTGCTTTGTAATGGGGTTGATCCCGTATAAATAAATATATAAATATTCTGATGAACTGAGAACTCTTTTTTTTAAAGTCGGTTACATCATTATTATGAAAAATTCAATTTTAACTGGTTTAGAAAAAACGCTAACACAAGAGTTCAGATTCAACAAGTGTTTTAAAATTAAACAAAAATTGGAATTATTACAAACAAAAAAAAAGAAAAAATTGTTTAAACTTTCACATCCTGATGAAACTTTTTTATTATATAAATATTTTATTAAAGCAAGTTGAATTATATCTTAATATTTTAAAGCCAATACCATTAGTCTATAGGCCATTATATACAAACCATGCTGTACATAAATTGTAAAAATAACTATATGAAATGTTGTATAAATAAAATACGAATCCTCATAAAATTTAATAAAATTAAAATATTTAACAAAACAACATTAAAATAACAAATAAATCATCAAAACATTAACTTCACTGTCTGTAGTCAAGAAGTAATTTTCATTTTCCAGTTAGGTCCTTAAAATGTGGAAATTTAAGCCAAACTTTTTTAAAAATATACATAACAGGTAAATACTGGTAAAAACACTTTGATTTCCACTAAATTATTAAGATCAAAATATGTTTTGAATAAAAGTGGTGACATTTAAGTCATTAAGGAAATTTGCTATTTTAGGACAGCCATCTGTGCTGAAAAATAATAAAAATAACCCAGATTGGATTCCAATACAAAATATGGGACAAAATATAACTAAAAAATGCTAAACTGTTGAAACATATCATTTGAATATCCAGTTAATATTATAATTGGACAGTGTATGCAGAAAACTACCAACCCACAATATACCAGATATTAGGTTGAGTGTGGATTTGGGTAATAAAATACATGTTCTGCATTCTGTAAGAACCTACCAAGTCTCAGTTAATTACATACCCTATAAAACTATAAAATGCTACTCCATATCCCATAGCTTTCTTAAAGGAACAAAAACTTTAGAGTTGATTACCTCAGTTTGTTACTATTGAGGGTTGGTAGCTTTCTGCTTAACGCCGTCCAATTATAACTATGAAACATATTTGTGAAGAAAGAAAAAAGACAACACCTATATAATAAAACTTTCAAATTAATCAAAAAGATCCGATTTTACATAGGCATTCCATAACATTTTAAAAATAATTGTTTGCATGCCCCTTAGTCAATGTTAAAGCCTCAACCTAAAATAGTCTCTTTGTAGCAATATTAAAGATTAACAAAGACTAGTACTTTACAGCATATCACAGATTATTATAATTTATTCTTTAAAAACTTATGCCACATACCTAATCTATATAGCATTGTTATTTTATGTATCTGGAATATCCATATTCAGTTTAATTAAGGGGCTGACTAATGGCAAAGACTGCTATTGTCCTACTTTATAATTACATTAAAATTGGAAAACTTTAATATAAATGGAAATTCCAAAATAGTTAATTTGTCATGAATATTACACTCTCTGACATTTTCAAAAGATACCAGTGGAAAAACACCTAAAGCTATTTAATATTTATATAACCATTAAAGCTTATCTCGAGTTGGGTTTTTGCTTTTGTATAGGGTTACTATTTGGAGTAAATTTTAAACATGCAATTGATTTAATAATTTTTATTATAAAAGTACTTTTAAAAAATTATTTTTTTTATGTCAAATTATTAACTTGACTTTTTGATATATCTAAAAAACACATTTCTGGAAAATAAAATTCCAACATGTTTTGTATAGATAAGCAAATGATAAATGTTATTTATCTATTAGGAATGTCTGTGGTAGGTACTAGCGACTTTTTCATGTGAGTTACTAAGGAAGAATGTTAGAATTTGTCCCATTATAATAATCGCAAAAAGGTAAAACAAAGTATGGAAAATAATAAAAAACATGCTACATCTTTGGCACATAACCTAAATACCTACCTTGACTTACTTTTAATGCAATGATGATTGGGTCCACTTTTTTTGTTAATTATAAGTGGTGCTCAGATTAAGATCGGCAATGTTTTTTAAAAAACATGTTTTGCATTAAATTGTGCAATTTGATAGGAAACAATGAGTCATTCAATGTCATTCACATTGTTGAACTCTCCATTTTCCATATGGAACCTGGATATTTTAAAAGATTAAAAATAAAATTACTTACCATCGGCGGGCTGTTGGAAATTCACGTAAGCATAACCCAAAGATCTTCGTGTGATCAGATCCCTGCAAACACGGATCGAAAGAACGGGGCCAGCAGTTGAAAATTTTTCAAAAAGCATGGCCTCGGTTATATCGGAATGCAAATCCCCGACGTACAAAGACGCCATAGGGTAATTTGGGGCGCCTGGATTCATTTTTTAGCCGCTACACTAGAAATACAGACACTCGACAAACATATGAAACGAAAAAAAAAAATATTTTTATCGTTTGTTATTTTACTTTTTTTTCCACTGTTTTTGCGATTTTTTTTGGTGTTTTTTAAGAGTTTTTTTATATTTTTTTGTATTTTTAAGTTAATTATTTCACAATTTTAAGTGGGTTGTGAAGTTATCCACAACACCACACGCTCACACACTAATTTATAACAAAATGGAGCGCCGGAAATCGTTGCTTTTGGTTTTATATACTAAAGGGAAGTGACGTCATAACAATGACATATAGTACAATTTTATGTCAACATTATAACTCCAAATACCCTAAATTTAAAAATATACATATACATTTATAAAGCCTTTCTGACAATATACGGTTTCTGAAACATACATTTTACTATGTTAAGACGAGATACCTAAATATAATGTATCATATTCATTATAACCCCATGAAAATGATTTTGCCTATTTGGAGGAAATTAGAATACAGTGTTGTCAAATCGATCAAATCAAAATTGCCACAATCTAATTTTCGAAAATTATCAGAAATTCCGAAAGGTTTTCGAAAGATTTAATTGTATTGGTATGTATAAGAGGTCCTTCCCTTGTAGGAATTCGGAAGGCCAATTCAATATATCAAAAATGAAACCATAAGGAAAAAATAGTGTGTCGGAGCTCATGCGCATAACGGTGCTGGCTCGGACAGGATCGGTGCAAGTTTTTTATTGATCGAACAAATAGTTCACACGATGTTTCAAGTTGGAAGTCATACATGTTTTAAAGATGATTCTATTTAAAAAAACGTTAAAAAAATTCAAGTAAGGTAAATATGGTGCTCAAAGTATTAAGAAAGATATGGAATAAAATATGAATCAGTTAATTTTCAGCAATCATTTAGTGCTATAGTCACGAGATTTTGCTTGTGACTTGACATCTTATTTGATTTAGTATCATTTGCTACAAGTAAATTTAATCTGGGGAGTGCAAAATAGGGGGCAGTTGCGTTTCGTCCAGGAATATTATGTTCGATATTTTTTTACATTTTGTCAGCCGAGACTGAGTCGTTACTTCTCAAGATTCAAAATTAAAAAATACTACTACATTTACTTGGTATTTGGTACATATTTTATTTTAATGTTGAACCCTTTTAAAAGGGTCTTTCGGTTCCATAATAAAAGTTAGTCGCTATGCTTACTAGAAACATTCTATATAGTCTAGACCAGTCCCAGACAGCAAACCAAATCCTTTGGATATCTACTGAACATCCCAATATCCACTGAATGTCCAGTCCATGGTAGATATCTATTTTATGTCCATGAAATGTAATTTATAGACATGCAAATGTCCATAAGTAATAGTAATTATATAGCAAATTATTAAAAAATTACGCCATTGTGCTCGCCATTGTGGCTAATAGTACCGTTCAGTTCAGATATTTAAAATTAATTTTTTTAAGGTGTATTCAATATCCCATGAACATCCACTAAATATATCAAAGTCTAGGCGCGAACGCAAACCATCGTGGATATCCACTACATGTTATTTGATTCTGCTTGCTAAGTATAGATGGCGATATCACTATCGCATCTACTCATGCTCGACCCGCCGTAATTGAGTTCGATCGAAATTTGTGTCCTAATCAGACTCCATTAGAGACTGGAGTCGAGAATTTTCATTTATTACTGAAGAGTCCTAATAAGGATGACTCTCCTTAGTGGGCAAAATCAAAGGCAGAATGTTGAAAATATTTTGAGTGTTGAAAATATTTTTTCCTACGACCACTTAGGAAAGTGACACATATCACACTATATAGTCCTATGGAAAGTGCCCTATATCACATGCGTATGAATAAGAATTTACTTTCCACCCGAGTGAGAATATGTTACTTTCCGCAGTAGTTGTCACAAAATGTCAAACACCTAATTTCTATTTTGATCTATGTAATGTCCATATTAATACTAAAATCGATATGATTGTTAAATTATTGAAATCGTTTATTCTGGTTAAATACATAACCGATTAGATCACAAAGCACGTATCTTCTAGAGACCCCACGCCAATGTTAAACTTTTAAACCAAATTATCGCCACCTTGTGTTTGGAGCTGGAACTAAAATGACAATTGACAGATGGCGGTAAATTCAAATTGTAATTTTTAGCAGTAGGTAGTAGTTTTAAATGATTTCCACATAAATTATTTTATAAAATGAAGAATGGAACTAGTAAGTTCGAAACTTTTATTTTACAAAATAATTTAGGTCGATTATACCAAATTTGAGCAATTAATTTGTTATAAGCAGGGGTCTGATGTGAAGAGTTGGTTCTGCATATTATTATTAAATAAATATAAGAATATCAATAAATAATAAAATAGAACATTCTTAAAATATGTTTATTAATAACTTAAATAAATATTATTAGATAAAAATAAATACAAATAATACATATTTAACAAATACTTACTTGCAGCAAATAGGTATACAATCTCAAATCTTTAAAATACCTATCAATAATTTAAATGTGAAGTAGAGACTAGGATATTACATTTTATTAACACTAAAATAATATATTTTATAAATGTCTTTTAAACCGAGGACAAATGTAATATAGGTATTGTATTAAAAGGTGAATCCTTTTAACTATTCATTCAATGATAAATAGGTATTTTCCTTCCAAATACAGATGGTGGTATTACTCCACTGCTTTGTGTATTACTCTCTTATGTGAAAAATTATTTCGGAATCTAGTCCATTATCAATTAGTTGTTATACCCGTTTGTCTTTTTATGATGCAGATGCATGGTGAATCAATGAAGTTTTTCTCGAAGTTTTCAATGTAGCACCCACAGGTAGCACCAAAATTATTGCAAAACACAGTAGGAAATAGGAAAGCAAAACATCACAATTTTGCAAATAACTAAGACGAAACTATAAACAGAAACCAAAAGCCTAAGCCAACAAAAAATCACTAAAATCAGACGGAAAAATGAGATTAACCAAAAACATAAATAAATACACGTCACATCTTTGGAGTCTTTGGTTAAGTTTTTCTCCCATAAAGCTTAAAAATGGAGTAAGAAATCAGAATTTTACCAGTAGCCCCATCTAGAGTTTGGAGCAAATAGCATAAAAAATGTCAGTTGTCGGTTTTGACCTTGGTCATTCACGTGGAACCTCTATGTGCTTTGTGGATTAGATCATTCAATTGACACAAGGGCTATTAGCTCATCAGGTGGTTAGGACGTCGAACTTATCAACTTTGCCATTTTTCGACCGCGTTCGAATCCTTTTTTTGTTTAGAAAATGTGAAAATTGAATAAATACGATTATTGTGAAAAGTGATTTTCCACACTCGTGTGAAAAATGTCACTTTCCACACTCGTAATATGTAATATACTATTTATCTCTGCTATTTTCTTTCGACGTTATTCAATAATCATTGGTTACTTATGAACCTCTACTAAAGATATCCATAAAATATTTTGCTGAATATCCGAATATATTCTTTATCCTGGGATATAGACGGACATTTGGTTGGATATCCATATTGGATATATTGAATATCCACAAAATATATTCTGTGGATATCTCTGGAATTTCTTGTATTTTCTGGAAGATATACCCATTAGATATTTTGCTGAATACCATTAGGATATCTTCTATACTCTGGATATAGACGGACATTTGGATATCCATATTAGATAATGTAAAAATGTCATTTTAATCTCCGTTTAACACAACGGTGGAATCGACCCTAAATCATATAATTTAAAAATAAATAAATTTGAAATGCTTTTGTGTTAGGTTATGTTTAATATACTTGGCAACACTACAGGGACAAGTCATTCATACTGCGCATGCTTCTAGACACATTATTTTGCGATGTCAGGCGCAGAGACGCGTTTTTATGCACTTTTATGCACGGTTTCAATTTATGCTATGCTATACTTATATTGGTCTTCTATATTATTTCTATGGGTAATTCCCTTGTAGGAAGAAATATGCAGTCATTAGAAGTAATTTTTAGCGACAAAGAGATACACACGTCACAAACATGATATATTTCAAGTAGCGAGCCAAATCTATCGCTGCAGGCATCAAACTGTTAACAAACTTATCTAAAATCTGCCGAAAACTGCCACACGAACAATCTTATCAGCATCCCAGTTCTGCGACTTGCGACACTTTAGCGACAGTGGCAATTTTTCAGTTATTGAACGTTGGCAAAATGAAAAAACCGGAAATCTAAATACCGACAAACGGAAATTTCTATGACAATTGACAATCTTAAGGCGGCTGCGCTGGTCTTTGATTATTGCAGTTGGTCTCAATTCTCAATATTTCTGTGTTGTGACTAAATTTTGTCTTTTCTTAATAGTTACAATACGTATAATTAAAATTTAAATAAACATTTTCCGATAAACCTTGTAGGGTTTAAATTTTGAAGAGTGAATTGACCGTAGAGAACAATGTCAGAAAACGAGAATAAGAAATTATCTGAATTGAGAGTTGTTGATTTGAAAGCCGAATTAGAGAAGAGAAATTTAGACAAAAATGGCGTCAAGCAAGTTTTGATGGATAGATTATCAAAGGTAATAAAATACTTTGAATAAAATGTATTTGACGATTCGTTTCAAAAATAATTCATTTTTATAACGTATATATTCATTAAATTAACAGTTTAAACATTTTTTTAACTATTCTGAAACACCTAGATTGCATGTTTTTTTTTAATTCTAGGCTCTGACTGACGAAGGTTTAGACCCAGAAACTTATATTTTTGAAACTAGCCCTGAAAAGAAGAGAGCATCTGTTCGTAAGTTTGTTTGATACGTTTTTGTGATATGTAAAAAAAAATGAGCCAAGTGGAAGTGGATGAAGTAATAACTACAATTACATATTCATATTATTCTTTACAATGCTTATATTGCTTTCTACCTCCATTAAAATTCAAGAAAACAGTTATAAAATTGTAGTATTGGGTAGGATAATAATGTTTCAAACTATTTTCTCCCATGGCTGATCACCTCATTTTTTTTTGAAAGAAATGATATACCTAGTGTTTTTTTTATTTATCTATACTTCTAATAGAATATACTAAACAATAGGTTTATCAACAGAGAGTGGAGAAGAGGAGAAGATGGAAAAAGCTGAAGATTTAAAAGAAGATACCATGAATAATGGAGTAGCTGGTGAACAGAAACCTGCCAAGAAAGCTGATGCCCCTGCTAAAAAATCTTTAGAAGAAACTGATGGACATGAATCACCAATTCGTCTTACTTTAGAAGATGATGAAGCTATAAATGAAGTTGAGGTAAATTTATCTTTCAATAAATGATCATTTTAACATATGTAATGTCAAGTTAGTTGAAATCAATCGGACCTTTATTATAGAAAATAAAAATACATGGTTTTTTTAGTGAATGCTTGCAAGGCATCATAATAATTAGACCATTCAATTTAATACATAGTTTTTATTATAAGATGATATTTTTTTTGTAGAAAGAAACTTCAGAAAAGCCCAAGGAAAATGAAGAAAAATTAGGAGGTAAGTGACCATAATTTTTTTAAAATTTTTGTTAAATTTGTTGCGGATAAAACTGAAAACTAATTGCATGTATACATATATAATATATATCTTGAAGAATATTGGCATCTGCAGCTGTTTGAAGATTTTTGCTGAAGATGTTTCTATATTGAAGACTGATGAAGAATGGAATATTTAGCAAAATGAAGATTTGGGAAGATGTGACCTAGCAACTTTACAACTGAGAGAAAATAATGGAGGAAAGTGTATTTTATATTTTTTAGGTTTCCTTGAATTGAAAACCTTGAATTTGGACAGTCAAGGTGAAATCCAGTATATATTGTATATGCAATTAGTTTTTTGTATAAATAACAACATTATGTGTTAGAAAAATGTAAATGCAAAAATGCATGTTAAGTTTGTGTTTCTATAAAAAAAGTGCAGTGAAAACAGGATTTCTTAATCATTTAACACAATTATTATTTTTTCATGTACAAATGAATCAACTGTCAAGTCGTGAAACTGCTAGATTTCGAAATTGGATGAATATTTATGCGTTTATTAACTTTTATATGACATCGAATTTCGTTTCTTCCTATAGATAAGAAGACGGATACAAGTGAATCGACAGTTCCTGAGCAAACAGACAAAACAGCAGTATCCAATGGAGAATCTAAAGGAGAGAAAACTGGAGGGGACAATTCTAGGTTGGTTTAATGAACATCATTTTTGGCAAGAGCTCATCACATGCTGCCTAGAGATTATAAAATATACATATTTCATTTGAAAAACAAGATCTCCTATACAAGATGTTTTTAATCTAAATGCAAAGCACAAATCTTCAATGAGTTCTGGGATATCAATGGATTCAAGTTAATGCTACAGAAGGTACATTCATCTAAATGAAGAAATCTGATGAAAACATTGATGAATCGTCTACAAGTATTTAGAGACATTTTAAGACCCCAATCTAAATTCCATTTGAAGCTAAAAAGAGATTCCAAGCCTACATATTGCAGATGAGTTTGATTTTGTCATTTGTCCAGTTGGAGTAAAAAATATATTGCTTTATTGAAGTAATTACTAATTATATGATAGTTTCATAATGCTTATGCAAAAGAACAAAAAAGATAAATATATAAAGAGGCAGCATAGTGATGAGTCTTTACTTCACATACACAAATAAACATCATCTTTCATTGAAAATGTATTGGTATTGGTAAGGCGTAAAAGGTAAAAAATGAGAAGTTCTTCATGGAAATCACATGTGGAAGGTTGTTATCTATTACATTAGTTTTTTAAGTTATTCATAGTTATGAGTCATTATTTTTTGAATGGCTGGTGTGTGTCAGGGAATTGTACACTGAAGCTTCATATTTATTGACGTGAAATTTGCAACACTGTTAGGTAAAAGTTTTCAGGATGAACCTAAATTAAAAATAAAGTGTAAAGTTCACAGGGTTTCAAAAATTTTGTTGATAAAAATATCAGAAAGCCTGGAAATAACTGAAAAGAGTAGAAGACAATGAATTTGTTTATTTGTTTTAAATAGAAGCATGAGGAATTCTTTATTTTATTTTTTTAAATTTTAAAGTGTTGTGTTTCTAGTTGGATATATGGCAACATTACATAGTAAGTCACGGGAGTTGTGCAAGGTTCTGTGTACCTGACCTTGTAGTTATTACAACTGATTATTGGATTAAATATGCAAAATGGGTCTTAAAACCCATTTGAATTATGTACTTATATTATTTGATTTGATAATGTTGGTGGATGGGGTTTTTTCTCACCTGTAAGTTACCCTGGAGTGGCACAAGCTAAGTCAGCTTCTGGTGTTAAAATTCACTCTTAAGAATTATAGGAAGAGTACTATTAATTATACTAGAAGTGTTTATAAAAGACATACTTAAAGTTAATTTAATTATGGGTTATATGCTTGTGTCTGACTGAAATATAATTTTAAAATTGCAAATGTATTTATGATTTCTGCAAACAATTTAATAGAATAAAAATATAAAACGCTACAAATACAACAGACAGAAATATATATAAACATAAGGGATGTATCATCCCTAATAAAAATGTCTAAACTGCTTTTTCAATGGTTTATTTCACGATCAAGTATTCTCAATTACAATGTTGCTGTTGTATTGCCACTGTCTATTCGCGTAATGCTCACTGCGCTGGTCTGTCTTCTCCCGCTCGTCCATCCTGACACGCATGTGTATGGACTTCAAGAATGTGTGGTGGGGAGCAGCGGAACACCGCTAACATATATATATATATATAAAAAAAAAACTTAAACATAATTGATAAGGGTATTTATTTGATTTATTATTAAAAATATTTGGTGATGTCACAGATGATATCTTAACCAGCAGAGAATCATATTTTTTTTTTTTTTTATTAATTACTCTTCCTAAAATGTTAGTTAAAGGTTTTACTGATTATAGAAATCAGGCATCCTGTTCTATGGCGGTTATATTGAATAAAATTAAAATATTCGTGCAATTATCTAATGAATTAAAATGTAATTTTTAAGTCAATGAATACAATATTTTATCTTATTTTTTAGGAATTCATAACATTCCAAAAAAAATTGAAACATCTAGACTACAATAAATTCGGTTCTTCTGTAGGTTTAAAATGGTTGTATACAATTTTTAAACCTCCAAATATCTAGATAGTGTCTTTTATTTGTTGTAACAAAATTCCTGCATTGCATTTGTATGCAGGTACATTTTTATATGGGATGCTTTTTAATCTTTTTAGTATAATAAATATGAAAATTTTATAAAAAAAAAAATGGTTAATTAAAGTTGTCTTCTGGTGTCCTTTTTAATGTTTGGTGTAGCTGTCTTATAGGTGAATACTTAGCCTGAGAGGACAGGTGTGGGTATCAGTCGTTTTCTCATGTAATCTCTGTTTAACAGTGAATTCTTCAGTTTGGTAAGGTCATTTGATTCCCAAATGGTGACACAATAAGCTCGCATGATATAGTGCTGCCATGCTTTAGCCATAGAGGTCCTAGAGGCAGACTAAGGTGTTTGCAGGGATTCTAAAGAATAAAATAAACTCATTACTTCTGAAGTCTTACACTATTTTCCGTTTCAAACCTACTTGTTTTATTTATCAGAAATATTAACTTGTAGAAAGAAATAATACAAAGAGTTCTTTAATTTCGTGTCGATTTATATGAAGTTTATTTTCATGGAAAATATGGTACAATGCGTTATTGAATTTAATGGATTTAAATTACGCGTTTATGGAGTACGTGAATGGGTTATCAAGTAATTCCAGTGCCATGCAAGTTCTCATTAATTGTCCTGATTACTCACAGAAATATATCCTATATAATTCAATACATTCAACAATGAAGCCAGTTTACCTGTATCCAAATCACCGCTATGTAATAAATCAAGAGATGATGAAGATCCACAAAAATATCTACAAAATCATAGTTATTGCACTGAAGGCAGACTACCTGTATAATCTTCGCTGAAGTGGCAACTATTTGAGCTATGTAATCATTTGAGAAATGAAAGAAGAACCATGAAAGTGTCCATATAATCATAGTTATTTCAATTTAAACCATCATTATCGCCATACATAAGATTTTATGATATACCAAGAGAGGCATATATTAAATACAATTATAAGATCACTAAATAGAAGCAAGTTTTTATCAATAATACCAATTGCTGGTTCGTTACAAAATTTGAAATAAAAATATACATTGTTGGACGTTTATTGTTTAAATTGGCACCAAGTATGTCCTAAGAAGTCGTGAAGAAGCTTCCCACGAAGTCATAAACAGGAACCCTCCCAAGCAGTCACAAAGAGGAACCTTCCCAACAAGTATGGAAGAATTTGATCTTCTGGTGCAATGAAGGCTTCTGAAGTTTAGAAGATAAATCCATTGAGTATCTAATCGCATTTGTACGGTATTTTCTGTGAGAGCAGGGTACAATTTTGCTTCTTTTCCAGATATGTTGTTTAGAGTTAGACTAAAATTACTCATTTTCCCATTTTTAGCCCTAAAGCGGGAGACAATAAGTTACAGAAGAAAGTTGGCGTTAAGTCGAATCCTAACGTTGTGTGGATAAGTAACGTGGCTCAGAATACCAGAGCAAGTGAGCTGAAAGCTGCTTTGTCTGCATGCGGAAAAGTCACGGGTGCTAAGATTGTTGTCAATGCGAGATTTCCTGGATCTTGTTGTTTTGGCTATGTGACAATGAGCTCCATAGAAGATGTTGACAATGTTATTACCAAGCTGAATAACACTGAATTGAAAGGCCAGATAATCAAAATAGAGAAGGTAGCTCTACTTAATTAACTTAGAAAAACTATTTTTATTACATATCATTTCATTTGCAGTTCGATTTAGTAAGGGCGGAGCAAATGAAGCAATTAAGAGATCAGCAAAACAAGCAGGCTGCTTTGAAGGATGTGTCCAAGTCTCCAAGATTACGATCAATATCTAGGAGCAAAGATGACAAGTCAGATGATAAGAAGGAGGAGAAAAAAGCTGGAGAATCTAAGGAAGGTGAAGATGTAAAGGACAAATCTGTTGATGGTGGCGACAAGGATGCCAAGAAAGATGATTCTAAGAATGAAAAGGGAGACAGAAAACCATCTAAAGATAGAACAGTAAGTTATTACAATATTTTATTTTTTAAAAATCAAAACTATTTTTGGTTAGTTTATAAAATTTGTTATCATTAATATTATTATGTCGAATTCCTAGTTTCTTTTGAATATTTTCAGGTATCTAAAGACAGAAGCAGGAAGGGATCTAGAGAAAGGGATAGACGTGCACCACGCCCACATTCCAAAGGTCGTTCTAATGTTCTAACATTTGACAAAATTCGTGTAAGTGCTATTTTAAAAGGTTATCATAAAGTATGAGATACATTTCAGCTTATTATGTATTTTTAACAAATTAAGTTAACAGGATGTGAAAAAAATTCTATTTTTAAAATAATGAAATTTCTTATGGTCAACAGGGCATACCGCAAATATTCGATGTCGTTCATTTTGCTGCTGTACAATCGTCAACCGTTCCTCCATTCATTATTCTTCCAGCCTTGTCGGTCGTGTTCTGAACAACAAATTTTATTAAATAACCCCACAGCCAGTAATCAGCTGGGGTAAGATAAGGCGACCTTGGAGGCCATGAATTTACGCTTATCTAAATTGTAATGATTGTTTGACACTTGTTCAGCAATTGACATGACAACTCATTTGTTTTCCATAGATACAGTAAAATTCAATTATTGAAGCAACCAGAATCCATTTTACTCTTTGCTACCAGCTTGATTTCTTGAATTTTTATAAGAATAAAATATATCACTTACTTTATGATGACCGCATATATTGATTTTTTTTTTTTTTTTTTTTATATATAAATACCTCAAGTGAAGCATTTATGATTATTAAAGGAAGCTCAATGAGCAATTATATTCTAACCTAATTTGTCTAACGTTAAAAACTAAGATCTTACTCACTAGTGTATGTTAAAGTTTCTAATGCAAAATACAGTATACTCCACTTTTAGCTAACATCTTTCCTTGGAAGCATTTTAATTTCCCCGGTAATGACATATAGGGCTTTTATGGGATTTATATTTGGATTTCCATATAAACTTTATTTGGAAAGATGTTCTGCAAATCTGCTTGTTTTAATATGTTTTGGCTGTTGTGTTGCATTATTCTGGTGCTCTAAACTTTGCCATTTTCTTCCAATTTTCCTTTTTTCTAAAATAATATCTGTGATGTGATCTCTTTGGATAAATATGACCTTGCATCCTGCATTTAATCTTAGACATGTTTCCGATGCTATCTGTTGAATTTCAACTTCTTCATATAGTTGTTCCCCAGTTCTTAATGAAATCGAGAGATCAATTAGTCAAGGTTGATTTTGAAGCTGTGCCAATCTTATTCAGTAGTTTGGATAATGCTATTTTTCGATTACAATATTACAATCACTTAATCTTTCTTCTACATACATGAAAATTTACTTGAAACCATTTTTATAATATAATTATTTTGACAATGGCGAGATTCTAAGGTTCATTAAGTAAAATTCTCAGTCATTTAACTTCTGATTTTGTTAATTTAAGAGGTGTTTATTTTTTTAATAAATTCCACATTTGAAAGTGGTAGAATTATTATTTAATCTAAAAACCGCTATGTCCAAAAATTCAACTGTTTGTCTTGATAAATATTAATAATTTTATTCAACATTCATTGAATTTAATTTATAATATAAAATTGTTTTATTTAATCGTCCCTTCTTACCTACATACCGTCGCCTTAGTAAAAAAATGCTTGACTCTATTTTAGTAAAATTTATAGCAGAAGCAAATAATTGTGATAAAATACTGTAATTTTACATGAATAAAGAAAACATTCGTGTTTTGATCTAAGATTACCCCTAAATATTTGAAGTGTTCAACTTAAGCAATGGACATAGAATTTAGTTAAATTAAAGGACATACATCATATGTGATATTTTTTTGCTGAAAATTCATTAGTATTGACAAAAAATTTGCAATTTCTGTTGTTAATAATAATTGTTGATCAACTATCTGACAAGTGCTCCATGGATAATAATTTGCTGCTTCGTTTTACAAGAGTAGATGATATCACTAACAAAGATTATGAATAATAAAGGAGCCAGCGTGGAACCTTTTAGGACTCCCATAGGAACTAGTATATGCTGAGATGTAATTGCATCTATGCTGACTACTTTGAGTCAGTTATATAATAATTAAACACTCAGTCTGCAGCTACTTCTCTAATTCCCATTTCCCCAGCATGTTTCTACATTATCTTTCCAAACTAATGTATCTTTAATGACGCCGTAGGAGGAGCGTGAAAGGCAAAGAATCCGCGAGAAGGAACGCTTGCTCCGCGAAGAAATCCGGCGCCGTCACGAAGAAGCCTCTCGTCAACGCGACGTTGAAAAACGTCAACGCATAGAAGCCCATCGTCTTGAACGCGAAAAGGAAAAGCTCCGAATGGAACGAGAGAAGATTGAACGCGAAAAGGCGGAGCTCGTTCGAATGGAACGCGAAAGACAGAGATTGGAAAGAGAGAAGATCGCCCTGGAAAAGTTGGAGTTGGAAAGAACGTTGATAAGGTTGGATGAGGAAAGAAGAGCTGCTAAAAGACCTGCGACGTACAGGAGAGACGATTTTGAAGACAGGAAAAGGTCTGCGCCTGACAGACATTTCAACGAACCTCCACCACCACCAAGGTTTGTGTTCGATTTATTTTGTAACATTAATTGATTGGACGTCTGGTTGATTTATTTAAATCCGGGAATCTTTGCATTTTTATGTAGTTTTTTGGATAGTGAAATGTTTAGCACAATGTCAATCAAAAACAAATAAAATCGCCACTTCATCTCATAAATTCTGTAATAAGTAATTGATTTAAGTAAGGAAGGGGTACAATTTATAATTTATTGGTACCAAATGATCGCTAATATTTTTTTATTTATTAAACTTGACAACATTGCCCTAGAAGATAAAATTGAGCCACCAAATTACCAAACATCTGCCGATATGCTTGTTGCCAAATGGTTCAAACAGTAGGTCAGAATATTTTTGTTCTGAAATTAACGAGGTGATGTTACCTTTTAGTTGGACTGTTGAATATTTTGAACTACAATTATTAATTAAATGAGTATGTTAGCGTTATCTGTGAGCATATTAAAGAACCATAAAAAAAATCACATAACCTTACAATTAACGTCTGGTGACTTGAGAACGCGTCTCAAAATACCCGCAGCATGCGCCGTTTTACAGTTTTTTTTTTATAAAAATCTGATGTGTCCAACACATGCCTTTCCTATATAGTTATTACAGACTTTTTCCGCCTATTGTATCACCTCTGTAAATGTATAAGAGGATAAACTAAATATATACATGTTCCACATGAAACATTTTTTTATATATATTCATTGCCAACGAAAATACTGAAAAATTTAAATTTTACACTTTTCTTCAAAATTTTTCCATTACGGTCCATTTTAGAGAAATGTATAAAACAAAATCTATATAGAATAATATTAGAAAACTTTTATTTAAAGAATTTTCTTCTCCAAACGTAAATAACAGTTTTATTCCATAAAATATAAAAATGACGCCCTATAAAGTACCCGTCATATGTTCCGACTCTGTCCAAAATCTAATCAGTTCACCTCAGGTCGGAATAAAGCTTAAGTTTAAAATTTGATGTTTTTCTCTTTGTCCGTTTTTGAGTTTTTTTCAAAATTCGAAGTTTACACTTTTTCTCAAATATCTAAAATACGATTCATTTTAGAGAAATTATGTATAGGACAAGAATTATAGAAAATAATATTACAAACAACTTTTATTTGAACAATTTTCTTAATAATTTGAATTTTTTACATTTTGTCAAATTTCTCGAATACGGACCATTTCAGGAAAATGTTATGTAAAACAAATATTATAGAGAATAATATTAGAAGCAACTTTTATTTGAAGAATTTTCTTCTCCAAACGTAAATAACATATTCAATAAAATATAAAAATGACCCCTTATAAAGTACCCCCAAGATGTTCCGACTCTGCCCAAAATCTAATCAGTTCACCGCAGGCCGGAATAAAGCTTAAGTTTAAAATTTGGTGTTTTTTTTGTATCCGTTCATGAGTTATTGAGTATACACACAGACATGATCGCAAAAATAGTCAAAACGGATTCAGGGGACCCTAAAACGTAAAAATCCGTCAAAAACTCGAGGTCAAAAATCATTCCTATAGGAAAGTAAAAATAGTATAAAAAAGTAAAAATAATTCTAAGCTGCAGTTGATACAAAATTAATTACTTTCGGTTTAAACGGTACCTGAAACATTTCCTGGATATCCTGGTATAGAAAGAACAATTTCGATGGGCGGAGAGTCGTTCGAAATGCAACGTTGCCAGATTAATTTAACATAATTTCAAGTGTTTTTTTAAGTCACGTGGCCATCTCAAGTATCCCGAAATAACGCTATTTCATTAAACCAACTTATAGAACTTTTTTTTGCAGTCTAAAGCCCAGAGAACCAAGTCCTAAAAAATTCCCCAGCTCCAAAGACTCGTACGGAAAGCAAAGGCCGCCTTTTGATTCCAAACGTGATTCTAGCTACGGAGATAAACGAAGTGGACGTGACTATGGCGCAAACCGGCCTTCTCCAATTGGTAGACCCGGTGCTGGAAGCGCCTCAAGTGGCAACAAGTATGAAGGTAGGCCCTCCTACGACAACAGAGATTCCAGAGGAGATATCAGAGGGCGAGATGCACCTTCTAGTAGACCAAAGGATGTTAGGTATGAAGATAGAGAAAGGGGGCGCGAAAGGAGCCCGCATTTCAGGGGCGGAAGGGACGATAGAAGACCTATGACTGATGGTAAACCTGTTGTACCCATGTCTTCTAGAGGTAAGGTTTTTTTGTTAATAATAAAATTGGGTCTAATTGTTTTATTTATTTCAGATTCTGGCCCGAGAAGCTTCGATGGCAGGCCAAATAGTAGTGGCTGGGTTAATCAAGTACAGAAACCTTTTGGAGCTAGTGCTGCACCAAAGTTCCTTGAAAAGGATGCTTGGAGGAATTCCGGTCCAGAAAGGTAAATTTTATTGTAGCATAATTATTGTCTGAAGGTTTTTTATCAATTTTCAGAAACCGCGACTTTGAAAAGTTCTAAATCAGTTAGTTCTGCAAAAGTTTTTTTCCTAATATTTTTATTTTATGTAGTTAAAATTTTCACACTAACATTAATTAGATTTCTAGTTATAGATTTCGATCATACTATTGGACGAAAATCTTTAGAAGTTATATTTTATAGTTTTCCACCTGATTTTTTTTTTTTTTTTTTTTTTTGAAGGACGAAAAAGCGCTTACCCAGCCTAGTGGGAAAGTATAATCCTTCACCTTTTTGAATAATTTCACCTGATGTGGTAAAGAACCGTCAGACTGTAAATACATCACTCTTTAGTTTTAAATCAAGTTTTTGGATATCTGTACATTATTTAATCATAATGAAGATTTTGTTCCTCATAAATAGGTAAGGATTCATGAGTTTTAAAATCAGTATTCTACTTGAATTATTATTACACAACAACAAAAAAACTTGGGTGAATCTTATTAAAAACAGATATAAATTATTTAATAAATTGTGGTTGTGTTTAATAAGAGGTGGGATTTTTTAGGTGGCCACCTCAACCATCATCTGCAAGACCTTTTTCTACCAATGCTAATCTAGGACCAGTATGCCCACCACCTCCTGGCATAAACAGTTATCCTGATACTAGATTTAATTCGGGAATTAGAAAGTATTAATTTCCTTTGTGTTATTGTGGTTATAATAGACTTTCTCTTTACAGTTAATTAGGTTATTTCCATCTATTTTATCAATTTAATATCGGCATGGCATTGAAATCCTTCAATGGTTGTTATTTTAGAGAGAAACCAATTGATTGTGTATAAAGGTTATATTTTTAAATGGTTTTGGTCACAAAAAGTTTATATATGCGTATAGGGTGGATTTAATATCTACCTAACCTGCAGTTCGAATTGTTCTCTCTAAAATGCATCACATCTCCTATGTAGCCATTTTTTTCCTAATGTTCATCACTTAATTATAAGGGATCAGTGTTTATACAGAATTGTCATTATGTATGTATTTACATAATATATTTATAGTTGTCTAAATCGGTTGACTGTAGATGAATGTATTTGGATGCTTTGCATTGCGTTTAACATAAAACTTTGTAGATGTCCATTTTATAAAATAAAATAATTACATGCACAGATTTTTTTATAATTTCTCAAATAGTATAGCAGTGAAAGTATTAAATAAGCTTTCTCACTCCAAGGTAAGTATATTACTGTATAAAATGAATTCATTTACAAAAATGGTCTTGAATGTTACTGTAAAGTTTACTAATTGATTTTTATAAATTCATGAGTGTAGTTACAATTTTATGTTCAGACAAAAGTTATTTTTAAATATTTTGTTAAAGCAGGTATTGTTTTTATTATTTTCATAGAAAATGGTTGGGACAGGGATTGAAATAAATCTTTAGATATTATAATGATTAAAAATATGATGATTTAGTCTATCAAAACTACATAAAAAAAGCTGCTCTCGTGAATTTAACGTTTTTTTTCAACTTTCATTGTTTAATAAATTACTTATTAATAAAAAAGGCTGCATTCTTTTATTTAAAAAAAAAACTACTTGTTTTTCGAGTATTTTTGTTACCCGCCATTGGAGCATAAACTTTTTTTTTTTTTTTTTTTTCAATAATTAATACTGGTTTTTTGCTAGTATAATAATAAAATATTGACAGGTATTTTTATGGTTTATTTACAGATTTGTGTGAGTAGCTGTTTAGTTAATTTAAAAAAAATTCTTGCATTTAATTCAGGTAAATATCCTATAAAAGATGACCATAAAGGTATTGTAGTTTTTAAAAAAAATAGTACGAACTTAACTGAACTCTGGCTTTTTGAGGTAAGTCGAACATTTTACCCTTTTAATTTATTGCAGTTTCTCATAACGAATCATTTTTTTTAAATATTCTCTACTTGGCTTTTTTATTTTATTTAATATTTTCATTTTTGAGAATTTATTTTAGTTTATAGATTAAAATTTTGAATCGAAAATGGCACTAGGTGATTGTAACCAATAGTGACATCTAGTTGTAAAGAACTGAAATTAATTAAATGTTCTTTCATAGAGAAAATTGTACGTGTTTGCATTGAAAATGGTACAATAAAATTGAAACTTACCGTGCCATCTAGCTTTGAAGTTATTAATTAAATAGTTCTGTTAATTTCTCACAGATGGAAGACAAAACGATATGTGGTGAGCGATTGCCAATGATATATTGTCAATAGATTGCTAGTCCATATATAAATTAAATAACGAAAAGCGGGTTTCGCTGGTAGAAAGTTTTCTCATTATCTAAGGACCGATTCCACCGGTTTGTTAAACGAAGTTTAAAATGACATTTTTACATTAACAATGTAATTTTAATCTCCGTTTAACACAACGGTGGAATCGGCCCTTAGCGAATAACACACAATGTTTACTGATCTAGTTATTTTATAGAACCTTTATTTACCTGTTTAAATTGTATTCTAATGATATTTGTTAAAACAATAACGTTCAAAATTAAAAAGAGGATTTTATTAAAATAAATGAAATTTTGATATTTTATGCAGAAATTTTTTTAGCATTGCTAAAAATGACACACTTATTTTATTTTACTGTACCGATTTTTTACACTATGAACTAGGTAAAATTTAAATTCACACACTGCGTATTAAAACAGAAAATCTGCTTTTTTTTCTTCATATATTCTTATTTTGAGTTTCCATACAGACAGATTTCCACAAACAAGAAATCCGCCTGCGTTCCCATTTATTTAATTTTTAACCAAATTTTATTTTAAAACATTTGGGCTAGAATGGTTCTGTCCAGTCGTAGTCTTATTTGCAAATGGATGAGCAATCTATATAATTATATTTCATTGATGGTTGCCTGACATTTCTGACATACTGTCAATCTGATAACAAAAATCAAAACATGACCAACATGGCGCCGCCCATTAAAGGGCAGTTAGATTTTATATTGTTATTAGTTATAGTTTTTTTAAGTGAAATTTTAGGACAATATGACGACTATCCAAGGTATCCTACACGATATCCCCAAAATGTTCAAAATCCATACAACGAATATGGGCCACAATTGCCATACAATACGTATTCGAACAATGATTACAGGGCTACATATATTTATAAAGGTAGAAGATATGGACAAAATTCTAACATAAATAATTACGATCAAGGTAGACCAGGAGATCCTAGAATAAGAGGACAGGATGAAAGATTTACATACGATAGAGTGAGTTTTTTAATTAATGTTTTGAAATTTAAGTAAGTAAACATTGACAACTGCTGTTTATTTATAAATAGATAAATTATTTTACTCAAAATATGTGATAATTCTATCAATCAATAATTGTTATTGAATGCTAACCAATTTATATATGATTAATGCCAAAAGCTAAGATCATTATTTAATTTATTCTTAGAAGTTGATGATTCATTTTAATTGTTACATATTATTATCTGAGTAGGTGTAAACAGGCAATGAACTTGTCCAATAATTTTGTTATTATTTTACTAAATTGCCTTTAGTTTCTTTATTCAAGTTGTTTTGACAAATTGGTACTTTAATTGTAATTGAAATTCATGTTCACAAAAATGGAAATAAAAACACAATCCCATGTTTCTCTTTAACCTTATAGAAATTTTGTAGTGTATAATTTGATTATAGATAGATCTTTATTAAATTAGGAATCCTAATGTAGGTACATGTGAGAAAAATAAGATTTTACCGATGGGGAAAGATGGGGAAACCACTAAGGTTAAAACTTTAAAAATTGTTTTATGTGATTTCACTGAAAATCCCTCTTAATTTTATACGATTGTTTTTTTTTACTCAAATTGCCTTGTTTTTGATCCTCAAGCTGCTGCATTTACATTTAAACTTGGGGTAGCCATGTGTTAGTTAATGTATTAAATGTAGGAAAAGAAAGAAAACAGGTCCTTTATATCTCAAATGAAAACTACTAACATAAGTACATAAACATTTTCAAATGCCAAATACAAAACAAATTTACTTGTTATTAGAATTTATAAAATTTTGATAAACTCCTTTAGCTTAATTTTAAAACATTTTACAGTAGTTGATTTCCATATAGATATAGGGGGTTTATTGAATTGTTGATATCTTTAGAGAATAAAAATTTCATATTACTTTGATATATATAGATGTTATTTGTACCTCTTTTATTATAAGAATCGTTGTTGTTGAAAAGTATTCTGGTGCAATATGATAGTACAGTACTTATCAGACAGTATAACAACTAAATTTATTATAGTGACATATTATTCTTCATTCTCATTAAACTTTCATTTCAGGCTGGTAATGCTGAACCAATTTTACCAGGCATATTGGGTAGTTGGAGAGAAGATTTGCAAGGAAAAAGAAGAGAACAAACTAGGGAAAAACTTCGAGATGTATTTGTACAAACGACACATGGAAGTGTTCAAGGTTTCCAAGTGTATTTGTTTGATAATCCAGATCCAGATTCTTTGTATAGACCTGGAGCTGAATTTATTGAAAGGCAACAAGGTGTTGCTTCTGCATTTTTGGGCATTCCTTATGCTCAGCCCCCTGTTCTCGAAGGAAGATTTAAGGTAAAGTATTTTTTATTTGCCCATTTTGATTTTTAATTATATTGATTTTTAGCCTCCCAGATTGCATCGAGGTTGGCAGATCATGCAGGCTGTAGATTTTGGCCCAGCATGTCCTCAGCCTGCTAAATATACAGGAGCTACTCTAGGCATAAGAGATGTAGATGAAGACTGCCTGTATCTAAATGTGTTCACACCTGACATTGTAAGTATAAGATTTGTAAATGTATTTATTTATGATAATATATATTCTACTGTCATTGGTATTTATCTATAAATGCTAGGAACATTTCTTGTATATTTTTAAAATGAAATAGAAAATAATTATAAAAAAAGTGTAACTATTTGGAGGTACAAACTCTTTTAACCAAATGGATTCCTGGCAGATACCATTTTGTAAATACAAAGCATCATGTTTAATTTTTCTCTTTTTTGTATTATTATTGACATTTTTCATTTAATTTTATTTGACTTGAAATTTTTGATATAAAATTGTTACAGACTGAAGGAACAGGTCATAAATATCCAGTAATGATATATATTCATGGGGGAGATTTCATACATGGAGCATCTAATACATTTCCTGGTCATATTATGGCTACATTCTACAAAGTGGTAGTTGTGTCTATAAACTACCGTCT